GGAAACAACAGTTCACTGGCGGCCGCGAYGAAACGTTCCACTATTTAAACTGTTATGTCCGGTATTCAAAAAATTCATATTATAACAAAAATAAAAAACGGTATTCGGTAAAAAACGGTAAAACCGCCCAGCACTACTTCAGTGACTGTGTCAAAAACCTTTGATGAGGCTTTAAACTTTGACAAACATATTGCTTCTGTTGTCCGATCTGGATTTTATCATTTACGTCTTTTAAAGAAGGTCAAACCCTTTTTAAACTGTTGTGATGTGGAGAAGGCTGTTCAGGCTTTCATCACTTGATTCTTGTAACGCTCTGTATGTTGGTGCACCTCAGTCATCACTGGGTCGCCTCCAACTTGTTCTCGATGCAGCAGCTCGCCTTTTAACCAATACTCCTAGACGGGACCACATCACACCTGTTTCATCCTCATTACATCGGCTTCCTGTCTGTTTTAGAATAGATTTTAAACTTTTATTGTTTGTTTTTAAAGCTCTGGCTGGCCTTGCTCCTCCTTATATAACAGAGTTGTTAAGTTTTCTTGTTTTTAACTTGTTGTCGTGTTAATCACTGATTCTGTGAAGCACGTTGGTCACCAACACTGTGGTTGTGTAAAGCGTTATAGAAATAAATAAATGAATGAATGAAGAAATGATCTGATTGGGTGAGAGAGGCCGAAACTTTTTTTATATTTCAAACACGAGCTGCAAGTTTACAGAAACTTTATTTAAGAAATAAGCGAAGGAATGGGAGGCTCGCTGCGAAGCAAAGAAACATAAAAGATATAATCTCAGGGCATGTTGTTACAGGCCGTGCAAACTCACTCCTCTGCCTGAGGTTTTCCTCTCAAACACAAATACTTTAAATCAACCTCCCTGTGCTCCCAATCTACTTTTCCCACTTCCTACAAAACAAACATGTGAGCCATCATATCGAAATGAGGATTAAGTCAAATTTGGTCAAAATGACTTAATTACATTTTCAGATTCTTTGCTTTAAAAGCTACATTTTGACACCTGGATCATTCTGTTATCATAATTAAATCCATATATATGACTTAATTTGTTTTGTTTGTTACAATAATACATAAATATTTGGTCTGATTCCTAATTTTATGTCATTTTAATGAGGAATTTTTGATGTCCTTATAAAGAGGAACCTCAAATTATATTTGAATATTGAGATTTCCCAGCTAAAAATAAAAAC